GGAATGGCATTTGGAATGGCAACGGCAACTGGAACGGCAATTGGAACGGCAATTTCCCGGTGAGAAAACCTTAACCCTTAGATTTCTTGAACCAAATGGGGGGATCCTGAGCTTCTGCCCAAAGCCAAACATGATGCCCTTCTTGTCAGGCATCTCCTCTTTTGAGAGGGCGCAGATTCTGAAAGAGATCAGTGAGAGAGCAGAGCTTTCCATCCAAGCCCTTGAGTGTAAATTTCCTCTGGCCTGTGCTCTAGCATGCATCAAACTCTAAAGGCAGTAGATGACAGCTGTCAGATGTAGCAATGCTCCACTGAATCCATGAAATGAATTCTTTTGGCCTCTGCCAAATGCCACAGCCTTGGTTTTTGTTTTTTATTTTAAATATCTCTTCCTCATATTAAAATACATCTCTACTGCCATCCCTCCCTATACCAGAGCGCTTATTCTTTTCTTGCAGGGATTTTTTGTAAATATATGTTGTGAGACCTAGCTACTTGCACAGTATTAGAATATTTCGTGTGGTTTTCTTATCCCCACAGTCAGATAACAACCAACAAATCATCAGTGATGGAGGTTCCCACATCTCCATCTCTGGTGGGGGCTCCCATATCTCCATCTCTGGTGTCTCACAAAGCATAAGCATCAATAGCCAAACACAGAAGGCAATTATGGAGCAAAAGAGCAACCATTTGTCCTGGAAAACCATCTGGAACTACAACACGGTAAGTGGCACAGAGGGGGCTTGTTCACAAAGTGTACAGTGAGACTGGCTGCTCATACAGCTGGCCCAGTGACTGGGACTGTCACCTTTATGCTACACTTCTGAGTCCATGATATTGCGTAGAAATATTCCCTATTGTTTCCATACAAACTTAATTCAAATGTTAAACAGTTGGAAAAAACTGAATTGCGAGTGCTGAACAATTTTATTTTACAGGGTATCATTGTAACAAAAGTGATGCCAGAGAGAACATGCTACATTTCCACCATGAACAGGAGTGAGATGCCTACCTTTGCTGCACTTGTCAGAGTGGCTGCAGAGAGGAGGGTAAGAATTTAATGGAGGAGTCACTTGGAATGTTGCTCAGTATTTGAAAGTGAACAGATGTGGAAGCCTACTATTTTTGAAGCCTTTTAAACCATTAGGTGTTTAGAAGTGATTTCTATCACACTGTAATTATGTAGTTTAATTTATTTTGAATTACATTTTATTTTAAAAGGTTCAACAATAAGAATAAGCTCTTTAAGGTGAAGATTTCTCATTTTTAATTAATGTTGTAGATATCCTGGGTAATTTTCACATAGCTTGCATTGAGTTTTTATACTGAACTCTTTTTAATACTCTCTTATGACCCAAGAATGTAGATGTGTGGTAAGTTACCCTTTATAATCTTCCACTCCTTGCATGGTAAAAAACTTAATTTCTTTGGTTTACGTGTAGTTGATTAAGAACAAATATCCCAATAAGCTGGAAAATTTAAATAATTTCTCAAAATGTTTGCAAATAACTACCATGTTAGCATGAGCTCCACCCACTAAATTAACAGGCATTTTAAAAATGGTATCAGCATTTAGCATACTCACCTTTGGTAGGCACTGGCTTCCACTGAAGATTCAGAACTGAGTCCTTAAAAAAATCAAGGCTTTAAAGAACAAGAACAATTAGGGTGCAGAAGAAAACCAGCAGAGTGTTATCAGTAAAGGCAAGCTAAAAGATTCAGCTTTAGCTATAGATCATGGCTTGTCTCAAGGCTTGACTCCCTTAGAACAAGCTCTGCTTTTGCAGCTGCCTTCAAGGCTTGCCAGTGGTCCCACAGGTCCCCAGGGGATTAAAAGGTGTTCCTAAAGGCAGCTTGGACTCAAACACCGAGCCCTGAGTCATCACTGCAGTGCTAGGCCTAGAAAGGACCCAGCTCTTGAGAGCTTGCTGAATGCTGGTGTTTGATGTTTAGAACATGATTGGCGGTTTTGGAAGACCTACCGAGGAGATCACCTTTGTCACCAATGGATTGGTCAGCAACCTCAGTTCTTACGGAGCAGACGTCTTTGCTATGTGCAGTGGACTCACCACCTACATGACTTATGAAGTTCACGGTGAGTGCAAACAAAGGAATTCTGTCTCTAAGTGATGTGGCATTTGTTTCCCTTGGGGAATGAACAATGCACAATTGCTGCTCTTCCACTTTGAGCTGCACAGAAACCAAGGGCTTCAGCACTTGTACAAAGGGTTTGATATCTCCAAAGCTCAGGACTGAAACAAGGGCAGAGTCTCAGCCTCCTTAAATGACCTGATCTATACCGCTACTACCCCTTTCTGTGAAGTTTAAGGTGGCTTCAGTTATTGTGTAGGATTTTACACACTGATATCCTCTGCAATGCCTACACTAAGAGAAAGGGTAGCTCTTAGCGCCATTGTTCTCTCATTTCTGTATTATAGACCCAGTGTTGTTTCATGACTTCAAAGAGATTCTCTGTCTATTCAACGATTTCTTATACAGCAGCTATGGACAACCTAGTTCCCTTCAAGCCACAAAAATAAGCTCTTATTGATTACCTAAGAATATCTTCCCCCTGAACTAATTGTAATATTTTTTTTGTTTTTTTAAAGTACCCCAATACAATCAACCGTCATGCACGGCACTCAACGTCTTGAGACTTGTGGAGCTGAAGTACTGCCATGGCAATGGACAGCTCGGAAAAGCTTACATTTCTTGAACCAAGATCCAGCCTTCAGAGCTGCTGCCCAAAGCCAACCCTGATACCGTTCTTCCCTGACATCTCTTCTTTCAAGAGTTTTGTTATTCATGGTTCAGAAGCTGAAACAGATAATTTGTTGACTAGAGCTTTCAATTAAAAACCTTTTGCATAGATGACCTCTGGCTTGTTTCTCATTACTCTACCCTTCAATCATCTTTGAAACTTCCATGGAAATATTTTTATTGTCTCCCTTCTGCCCCATTTGAGCCCTTCAAATGCTCTTTTCATTGCCAGTTCTCAACACAGGACACAGACAAAGAGCTGGGCAAGCCCCGGGGTGTGGATGGTACAAACAAGGCATTCACAGTTAGGACCTTCCTTCCCTGTTCAGAGAAAGATGCCTCCCGTTAAGAATCTTGATTCAGGTAGCACAAAAGGCAGAAAGAAAGAAGGGCAAAACATTGAATTTGCCTTTTTTAGGGGAAAGGGAGTCTCTGTGGAACTTACCACGTTGTTCTTATAGAGCCCTCCATTTTCCAGTGCACAGCAAAGGCTGGCTCCAGGGCATTGCCTTGAACACTGACATGGATGAAAATGTGCTCCAAAGATTCATACACAGTATAAACACAACTGTTGATCCCTTGGGACAGTGTTAAGATTCCCACTCATCTCCTCCCAAATACCTTCAGTTCAGACATGGACATGCAAAAAAAAAAGAAAAAAGAAAAAAGAAAAAAGTTTTCTTCCTTAATGCAGTAATGGTACCTTCAAAATGAAAGATTTCTTCCATTTTTGCTGCCAGGAACATGTCTCTTTCCTGATAGCAAATTCCAGATTCTCTATGAGATCCTCCCAGTGTTCAGTAGTATGAAGAGGACACAAATCAAGCTAGGAATAGAGTCATGTTTCTGCTGAGCTGACAAGAGCACTTGACAAAATGTCAATCCCCATCTACTTCTATATTATAAAGCTACAGAATTCCTCTTAACTTATAAAAATGCGAGAAAAACCCAACCCATTATTTGACAGTAAAAACCACTAGTCATCCACTAAAAACCAGGTAAACAGGAGAACCCTGAGCATCAAGTGAAAAGTAAAATTGCAGCATTTCAGTTCAAGTCTGATTAACAAACAGAAATTTAAACATGTAAAAGGACAATTCAATCAAGTTACACTGAGGTTATATGATCACAATGAACTCTCATGGGTGACACACGGGGCTTTTCTCCAGGTACTTTTCATAAATATTTACTTTATCAGGGAATCAGCAGGTAGTGGGAGAAAATGTAAAGAGTGAAGCAACACCTCTAAAAACCCACATAATTCTGCACGCTTCCATTTGCACTCAGGTGGGCAGGCCATGCTCTAGATAAAGGCAGCATGACATAGCCTAGAAAACTGTGGCTCAAGGACAGAATTAATCACTTTCCATAGTTAAAAGAAAACCCTCAAGCTCCAGCTTCAAGGATGAAACCAGAAATAATTTCATCAGTTTTAGTCTTGCTAGACAGCAAGGAGCAGAAAAAAACCACATGAAAATGTGTGGACACTAGAATGAAACTAGAATTTGAGGAAAGGGTGAAATCTGGAATTTTCTTACCCTTGGGAGGTTTCTGCACAGTGGGAGAAGAATTTACCATAGAAACAGAATACCTTGAGCAGAGCTTTGAAAAGGACACAGAGACAAACCTGTACTGAAAGAAAACAGGGGCTTTTATGCAAAGCCCCATAGAGTACCTGCCCTTTTCCCTGGTAATGCTGTCACTAGTTACATAAGCTGTGCTTAACGGCAAGTGCCTGAGCTGTGCATTTGCTATACAAACTGCTCCAGCATTCAGAAGCTGATGGAAGATGTGGAGGGTCAGGGTTCCAAGGGTGATGCATTTCTGTAATGGCCAAATTGGCTTGGATTGGTGGAAGCTGGGGACAAAACTGCTTTCCAACTCATGGCTAATGACACTGGAGGGAGGAGGATTGTACAGCTTTGTTTGTCTTGCCTTTCTTGAGGAGGGTTCAATTTATGGAATTTCCAGAGGCTAAAAGAGCACTTTCTTACAAAACATACATAACAAAGGAAATAAGACTTTGATGTGTATTTGTTATATTGGAAGCTAAGGACATAACCTGTCTCTAGTTGGCATCCACAAATCAGTCTGATTAGAAGACCTATAAATCTTCCCCCTTGGTAGTTTATCACTTTCATTCACTGTGTTTGACACCTGGAGTGAAGTATGAGGTGGATGTGAAACATGAAAAGCCGAGCGCTTTGCTCACAGTGCTGGCAGACTGCTGCACCTCCTCGGCACTCACAGAGCTCCAGCAAGGCACTGGGCAGGAGCACAAGGACAGAGCATGGCCCAGAGCAGCACAAGTGACAGCTGGGCCTCCCCTTCCCAAACCAAGTAAGATCCCCTGGCTTTTCCAGGAACAGCTGCAATAATGATCCTTGGCAATGGATGGCAGAGGAGAAGAGTGTTCAGAGATATCAGATCAGAGAGACATTGAGTCCCCATCAGGCCAGTCTGGCACTGCAGAGGAAGCTTTAGTGTGCAAACCCACCTGAACTGCAGCCAAGGGCACAATCAGCACAGGGGAACTGGCAGAACTGCTGTCAAATATAAACAACTGGGGAGTTGGGAAGTGAGCTCTGCTGGGAGTGCTGCTTCCAGAACCTGGAACAGGCACAGCAAAAAAGCAAATCCAAATTACCACAGGCTCCTGGGCCATGGCTCTCTATATCAAATTCAGAAAAAAATTAAAATCTCCCTCCTCAATAACAGGGGATATAAAATGCCCCATGTCACTGCTCCTCCCTCGCACATGTTTTGCTACCTCTAGTTTCAGGTCCCTTTCTCAAATCAGCCCTTAGTCCATGATCAGGTGCTACTCTCCTGAAGAGGCTCTGTGAAGATTAAAGCCATGTCTGACAAGAAGAAATCAGATCCTGAATGAGCTCAGAAAGGAAGGGCAGCAAAAGAACTCAACAATTCCTATGATTTAGAACCAACCTTGTGATCTCTAAGGAATCACGTAACATTTTTGACGCAGCAAGATCACCACCCCCTTGGTTTGAATGGTGCTATTGGTCAGAGGCACAACTTCAGGCTGAGTCCTTTGCCACAGTGGCACAAAGCATCACTGCAAGTTTACTCAAGGGAATCTCTGCTCTGCTTCTGATGATCATTGTTGTTCCTTTACAAGTGGCTGCTCAATACGCTGAGCTTACCATGAGCACTTTTCTCTCACCTCCCTGTATGCCATGAATTCAATCAGGCAGGTATCAAAGCCTCCTCTTATCAGAGCACTTCCCCAGGAAACTCGTCATGCTTCTGTGAACACAGGGCACCTGCCAATAAGGCAAACCATTTTCAGATTTAACTTTGGGATATTATGTATAAAAAGCAAGAGTACACATCAATTAGCAGCAGAGCTGGCCGGGCCTGCCATCCAAATGAAGTTCCCTGTAAGTACACCTATCATTTCCCATAAAAGGGAAGAAAGTTGAGATGCTGGAGTGTGTCCAGAGAGCGGCAACAGGGCTGACAGAGGGGCTGGAACACAAGCCCTGTGTGGAGGGACCTGGAGGTGTTAAGCCTGGAAAAGAGGAGGCTCAGGGGAGATCTTACCACCCCCTACAACTCCCTGAAAGAATGCAGCCAGGTGGGGTTGATCTCCACTTCCAGGTAACTTGCAATAGGACAAGCGGCCTCAGCACCAGGGGAAATGTAGGCTGGACTTTAGGAGGAATTTCCTCACAAAAAGCATGATGGGCATAGGAATGGGTGCCCAGGTAGGTGGTGGAGTCAATGTCCCTGGAAGGGTTTAAGAAAAGAGCAGATGTGGCACTCAGTGCCACGGTCTGGTTGACAAGGAGGTGTTAGGTCATTGGTTGGATTCGATGGCCTCAAAGGTCTTTTCCAACCTGGTTGATTCTTTGATTCTGTAAAACTTCAACAGATTTCAGAGGAGATGCTTTAAAACATGCTCCTTCAGCCTTGGGGTTGTTTCTGCTGGCCACTGTGTGCTGCATTAGCTTTTCAGCAGCAAATTCCTTCACCTGCCCTCAGCAGCAGAACACATCATACACGTGGCATTACTGGAGGAGGCAATTTAGCTTTTACCAAAGTCTCTTGTCGGCCTCCATGACACATTTGCCTAAACAATATAATTGAAAGGACCAATATTTTTCTTTCCCCATGACTATTTGCACTGTAGGAAGCCTTTCTTCTAACCAGTGCCTCTCTCTAGCAACGCACTTCTCTTTCCCCATATATTGTTTGCAACAAAAAGGGGTTTTTGTTTAACTTTAACAGGGCTATGTTGCAACCAACGGTTTCTCAAAGAACACTTGCATCATTGCTACAACCAGCAAGAGGCTTTGGCTTGGCAAACCCTTTCCTACACCACCTCCAGGAGACAAGGTAGGATGGTTGAAAGTGGGGCAAAAGATAGTCAGTGAAACACACTTGTTCCTACACACAGGAGCAGGAGAAAAGGCTCCAAGAACTGAAGAAACTTTCTCAGCAGGGCTGAGTTGCTCTAAAAGTTCCTTCAAAAGCTGCATTCCCAGGAATAACCCCTTCCCCCATAACAAAGAAGTGTGTACAGGTTCTGAATTCCTGTGCTGGTTTTCCAAAATGCTGTTTTCTGGCTTTGTTTCTTTGATGCTCAGGGACCTGGGCCTACCAATTGTCAGCCAGAGAGAATCACTTCATTGTCTCCAGGAACAGACTCCAAAGCTTGAGCCCATGGAAAATGCAAGCCCAGCTCCTGGTGAGTCTGCTCCTGACAGCCCTGGAGTTCCAAAATAAACAAGTGCTCGCTGTATACGTTTAGAATGATGCAGTTCTGTTCTTAAGTGACTTTACCTAGTAAATTTCCAACATAAAGTTGGAAAAATTTCCACTACAATGTTCTCTTATTTTCTCAGTCTAATCAGCTTTTCCTTTTCTTTCAGGATCAAAGTTCTTATCAGGCTCAAACTTCTTAGAGCAAGATAATTCACACTTGAAAGTTAAGATAAATTAACTGCCTATTACTTTGCTATATCTTCTACATTAACCATTTAAAATCAGGTGAACTAAAGTCTGTTTTTATAGGGATCAGCATAACTAAGGTGTTTTTATTTTAACATCTTACCAACATACCAACAAATTGCAATAGTTTATTTTAGAAATAAGCATTGTCACGTCATTAAGTAGAGGATTTAAATTGATTCAAATTGTAACTGATCAAGAAAACAAGACTGAAAAAGAGTTTTCTAAATAAAGACATGAGAGCAAAGACTCCAATGAGGCTCAGGAGACATCAACACTGCAACTCACAAAATGTCTATTTAACTACACAGGTCTAGAAACATTAGCAGTGTAGAAGATTGGAGTCGCTTACTCGAGCCAGAAAAGATCTCTCTCAACAAGGCGTGAGGCCTGAGCTTCATTTGAATTTAAATTGTGAGCACAACCCTTAAGCATTCCACTCAGTGTAACAAAGTGTCAGGATTTTATCCAATCTTAAGTCTATTTTTCTGCTCGTCCTACAGCAGACAGAATATAAAGCTAACACCTGAAAAACTGTGAACAAAAAATGCTCAAGAGTGACTTGAGTATAATTAAAATGCCACCACACAATCTAATAAATGTGTTTTAATTCCCTCATGTATTTTAAGACAAATTGGAGATTTTGAAAGAACCTGACTTCTGAGGGATTTTTTTAACACAAAATAGACATTCTGATTGGACACACCACCAGCAGGACTAATACCCATCTTGTGAGTAAAATTTACGTCAAGAATTGTAAAATAACTAAGCTGCAAGGACATAAATGTGCCAGCAACGCTCTGCTGGGTCCGCTGAGGCGCCGTCGCCTCTGAGGGCCTTTCCCGCCTTTTTTCTTCCCACCCATGCTCCTCTCCTCCCCACACCGCCTAATTACCTCAAGAACAGTAAATTAACCAAGCTACAACAACATAAATGTGCCAGTGCCGCTCTCGTGAGTAAAATCTACCTTAAGAATTGTAAAATAACCAAGCTGCAAGGACATAAACGTGCCAGCAACACCCTGCCAGGTCCGCTGAGGCGTCGCTGCCTCTGAGGGGTTTTCCCGCCCTTTTTCCGCTCCCCTCATGGCCCGAGGCCGCCTCAGCCCCGCTCCCTCAGGCCGTCCCACACTGCAGCAAAAGCACAAAGGTTTGTTCCTTGAGCAAAGGGTGAATTCCGTGCAGGCAGCATAGGGGTTTTCTCAGTGTTTCTCATCAGGCAGCAGCGAGAGAGGGAAAGCATGGCCCACCCCACACAAATGCTCACTGGTGCTGCTGCTAGTAAAGCCGCCTGTTGAATGCAATGCCCATTTGGTGTAGCTGTACATGCAAAATTACCGCTTCAGGCTAGCTGATTCACAAAGTGAAACTGAGACAAGCATTCAATTTCATACTGCATGTGCAACAGTGCTTAGACCTCATTTTTACGCATAAACCCCCACACCTAGCCATACTGCCTTTTAAAACAAGCTGCTGGGTTGCAGCTGAGTAGTTTCTGTGCCATAGAGCCAGGTTGCTCACAGAATGAAACTGAAAACTTGGTGTTGGGCTATGAGGATGGCTTCAAGGAAAAGCCATGGCAGGAACAACTGAGGGTATCTGGTGGAGGAGGCTGAGGGGAGATGGAGCTCTTTAGCATCTTCCAAGGAGCTATGGAGAAGGAGCTCTCCCATCTCTCCTGGCTACAATGAGTGACATGACCCAAGGGAATGGCTGGAGCTGGGTCAGGGGAGGTTTAGGTTGGATATTAGAAAAATGTTCTTTGCCCAGAGGGTGCTTGGGAGCTGGAACAGGCTCCCAGAAAAGCTGTCACAGGACCAAGCCAGATGGAGCTCAAGGAGTATTGTCATTGTATTGCAAAAGTCCCATACCTCCTCAGTGGTTTCTCATGGACAGTTCCTCACAGCACTGACTCTTTCTTCTGCATAGCCAACAAACTACAGCTCTCTTCACAACACAAGCAACAATCCCAAACTCCCTCCTTACCCAGCTAACCCCCTCTTTTATAGCACTCATCCTCATTTTACACAGTGTGGCCTGTTAAGGGCAGGCCTGCTCCTAATCTCTGGTAATTAGTACAGCTGCAACTCCTCAGCAGTGAGATTACCTTCTGCACTATCTTTATTTTCTCACATTCTACCCCTCCACAAAGGAGTGTTTGAACAGTATTCCCAGGTGGGGCTCCTGGGGACTGTTCTTGTGCAGGCCCAGGAGCTGCACCTGATGATTCTTGTGGGTCCTCTGTGATTCTGGTAAAACAATCTTCAGTGGCCATGTTGTACTTGGGGCACGTGTTTTTGTGGGTTCTATGGTTACAAAGAACATAAAGTGCAATTTGGAAAGTGCAAAGGCTTTTATTTATTCAGACTAAGTGAAAGCGGGTTTTTTTGTTTGCTTAAAGCCAATCTATCTCTGATTGTAAGTTTGATGTAAAGTTTCAGAAGTAATTAGTACATGTCAGAAAGTTACTGCAAAGCATATTTAATATTTTACTAGAAATGGAGGTTTATCTGATAATTATCAGGTCGAAATTTGCAGAAGTATAATCCCCATGTTTATCAAGTAGTTACAGCAGGAAATAATTTTCAGTGAAATGCAGCAGGGATACAAATCACAAAATAATTTTATTGCAACATTCACTCCTTCCACACCTAATTCAGAAAACATATAAAAGGTGGAGGGTTCACATTGTTCTTCCTACTTGCAGCAGCATCAGCTCTGCAGTCAGGATGCATCTCTCTGTAAGTATGCATGCTTTTCTTCCTTATGAACTGAAACTTTGATTCAAACCCATTCCTTTCTCTCTCAGAAGGGCTTATTGTGAATGCTTTTGCACCACTGGAGCACTGCACTAGGGCATCAAGCCCTTCCCTGTAATGCCAGAGCAGAAGAAATGGAAAAGCTTTCTCCTCACTCTTGTGAAATACCTGTGTGTGCCTGCACAGCTCTGAGAAACAACTTGAGGTTCAGCTCTTGAAAGAGCAAGTGTTGAATGTGTCTACTTTGAGCAGCCTGGGGTAAAGCAAGGGTGCCTCCCTTTGGGGGCACTGATGCAATCCCAGGTTAAAAGCAGAAAAAGGATCCAAGGAGGACCCTTGAACATCAGATTAGGAAAAGAGAAGGAGGACTCTCATGACCAGATTTGTCAGGCAGAGCTGCAGTTACACTTTTGTATTTGTTTTTCATTTCAGATTTTGACTGCAGTCCTTCTAGGACTCGTCCTGACTCCAGCCCTTGCTGATTATGTGAGTACAAATGAATAATTCCACAATGCTGCTCTTTCTATGTTCCCTGCTTCATGAGATATCCTTTGTCTTTCACCACCCCTTTGGAGGAAACAAATTGAAATCTTCTCTGACAGATGAAACTGGCACTCTCTATGTGGTAGAACTTATTCTAATCTAGCAAAGATTTTTGTTAAAATTTTAGGAGATCACTGACTAGCTTGAAAATCTAAAAATGTCTCATTTTTTAATTGAGTCTCGGCAAATAATTGAAAATCAACAAGTCATCCTTGGGGTAGAAACTGAGGTCCCCATCACTAGTGGCCAATCACAGATTGTGATGGCACTTAGCAGAGAGCAGTCCTTCCAATGTAGCAGGGATTTTTCTAACACTGTGGGGACATCACTGCCTCCCTTCAGACTAAACATCTTCCCCTTGGCTTTTCAGTCTCAGCAGTCGGGCAACAACTGCCAGGTCTCTGTTGGTGGTGTTTTCCAAAATCTGACTCTCAGTAGTCTGACACGTGTGGTGGTTATTGAACAAAGGAGCGACCAGTTCTCATGGAAAACCGTCTGGAACTACAACACGGTGAGTGGCAGGGAGGAGGCTTGTTCACAAAGCATGTGAGGACACCGGCTCCTGGTAGAGCTGGCCCAGGAATGGGGATTGTTTCTTTATTCTGTACATTTGGAGCCCATGATCTGGGGCAGCAACCCTTGGCATTTGTTCCTGTTTTAACAAAGGGTTTTCTCCAGTCCCAAGACTTGAAAAACTGAATTGCAAGTGATTAATATTTTTTTCTTACAGGGCATCATTGCAACCAAATTGGTGCAACAGAACACCTGCTACATTTCTGTCATGAACAGAAATGAGATGCCCAGCTTTGAGAGTCTGGCCCACATGGCTTCACAGAATGGGGTAAGATTCAAAATATCTTACTGTAGTTGATATTCATTGTTTTTGACTGAGACTATTTTACAAGCTCTCTTAACCAATGGGTAAATAATAAGGCATTTTATTGCTGAGACTTTTAGTAATATTATGCAGTTACATTATTCTGTATTATCTTGCTGAATGTTGGTATTTGCTGTTTAGAACCAGATGGGTCTTGGAAGACCTAGCAAGAAGATCACCTTTGTCACCAATGGACTGGTCAACAACGTCAGCTCCTATGGAATAGAAATCTCAGCTATGTGCAGTGGACTCACCACCTACATTGCTACTGAAGTTCACAGTGAGTGCAAGCATGGCAATTCTGAGTGTTACTGACCTGGCCTTTTTGTCTCCTGGGGCATGACAAAGGCACAGATGCTGCTCTTCCACTTTGGGCCAGACAGAAACCAAGGGCTTCAGCAGTTGTACAAAGGGTTTGGCACCTTGGCAGATCAAGACTGGAACACGGTGGGGTTACAACCCCCATAAATGATCCAAACTAAACCCTTACAGCTCCTCTCTAGCAAGCTTAATGGGGTATAAATTTGGGCCCGGTGTTTTGGCTCACTCTGCACTGCCCTGAAATACCCAGACGAGAAAAAGGGTTGTCCTATGAACTACTGTCCTTCAGATCAAAGCTTGCTGAGTTGATCCAGGCAGGCACCAAAGCCTTGTGCTAAACAAAGTGGTTTCCTCCCCTGTAAGTTTTCCCCTGGGGCAATGATCCCATTCCCCAGGGTTAATGAACAACACATGGTAGGATTCTTCCAGAATGTCACAGCCCATGTGACAGGGCCCATGGATTGGCAGCAGCCTCACCATGTAACGCCCAGCCATTGGGATTCTCAGGACAAAGTGCAATAGAACCCCAATTTCTGCACAGGAAATCCCTAAGGGTGTTTAAGAGCAGGTCTTGGTGAGCATCCCTGGCTCAGCCACAGAGCCAGTGCTATTTAGGCACTCCAAGACAATCTGTCCCTCATGTAACTCAAGCATTCCCAGAACAGCAATTCTTCAGAACCTGGCTGGCTCTGAGCAACACCACCATCCTCCTGTAGAAGGTCAGTCAATATCTTAGGCATCAGCTCATGCGGTTTTGTCTTTTCTTTTCCAGATTTGCAGGGACCCCAGGTGAATCTGGGATCATGCATTACCCTGGATGTTCTGAGAATTGTGGAACTGGATTACTGTGGTGGCAATGGCAACTGGAATGGCAATATCCCGGTGAGAAAACCTTAGCCCTTGCCTTTTCATGTATTAAATGCTGGAGTTTCCAGAGCTGCTGCCAAAGCCAGCCCTGTTGTCCTTCTTGCCTGGAATCTCCTCTTTTGAGAGGTTCCTTTTTGAGGGTGCAGATGGTGAAAGAGCAATGGGCCAGCAGAGATTTTCATCCAAGACCTTTGAGAAAGGATTTCCTCTGGCCAGTGCTCTTGCACGCATCAACATTTAAAGCCGCCTGGTGACAGCTGTCAGACACAGCAATGAATCACTGAATCCATGAAAAGAATTTCTAGGGCCTCTGCCCACTGCCAAAGCTTCTGGGTCCTTTGGAAAAAATTGAGGCTTCCTGCGGGTTGAACTTGTTCCATAGAAGCAGGGATTTTTCAGAAGCTTTGGGGCCATCAGTGTCTCTGTTCAAAGATGAAATGTCTTCTTTCCCTTGGCTTTTCAGTCTCAGCAGATTCCAGGTGGCATCTTCAACAACACACAGGGCAGCCAAACACATGTCGTCATCATTGGTGGCAACTCCCAAATTGTGACCATCAACAGGCAATGGCGTGTGGCAATCATTGAGCAAACGAGCATCAGTGGGTCCTGGAAAACCATCTGGAACTACAACACGGTGGGTGGCATGGGTGCCTTTTTCACAACACACTGGCTGCAGGTAGAGCTGGCCCATGGCACAGGGCTTGTTTCCTTATTCGAACCACTTTGAGTGCAAAATTTTGGGTAGGAAATCCCAGCAATCATTCCTCTTTTAACAAAGGGGGGTTTTTCAATCCCAAGCCTTGAAAGAAGGAAATGAGAGTGCTCAATAATTT